CGTAGCTCTATTCTTTTCCTTTCCTTTTTTTTTTCTTTTTTCTTTTCTTATACGAAGATCAGTGGAATTCATTTTTGTACTTGAGAGTAGCATTTCTCCAGTCTTGCTGAATTAAAATAAAAAGGATGAATGTTTCTTTTACAGCCAGTTCCTGACAGTGGTTTTTTAAATGATGTATCTTGTTCTCTATATGAAAGATGAATCAATTTTTTTAGTTTGATACACATTGTCTATTTAGCTGAATGGAGAGGTGAATGCAGAATTTAGACAAAGGAGAAAGCATTATTCTAAGTAGTATTTAAGTTGTGGGTGGTCTTTTATATTGCATTCAATTGTCATTAACTGTTGATGATAGCTGTTTTGGAATCTGGCTCTCATTAAGTAACTTGAGATGCTGTGTAAATTATTTTTAAATTGGGATACGGGAGTAAAAGAGAAATGTTAGGAAAAAAATGAAGACGCAGCAAAAGAAGGAACTCACGTGGAGTCTGTTCATGCCCCTGTAGAAATCTCTCCAGGATAATCCGAGCCATTAATGAGGGTGCATAGTCCACCTTCAGAAAACAGAAGTAGAAAATTAAAACTGCCAAGCTGTGCCAGCAGTTGATATTCCAATATTTTGTCAACACTGAAGATTAAGTCAATTTTAATCAACTGTAACAAGCATCATTCATTAAAATCTTTCCCACCCTTGGTGGCTTCCATTGTAGTAGACTGAAAGAAGATCTGTGCTGTTGAAAAGAATGGATGGATCGTTTATAGACTACAACATTTGAACCAATAATGACAGGACAGTTTAGGAATAATACCTAAAATAGGCAAATAAGCTCTTCTAATTCCAATTTTTGTTGGTAGGCCAAATTGCTTTCTACTCTAGAACCCCCTTTTCTAATCAACCTTCTACACTTACATTATTTTGAGCTCAGTTTCAAATTTTAGTCACTTTTCAAAAACTTAATCAAATGTCCAAATCATTTAAAATACGGATTTTTGACTGATTCCATTTTATCTTTAGAGAGAGCTGAGATTTTTTACATATAAAATACATTACATGATAAAAGAAAAAAAACTACTTTGCGGAGATATGAAGAAAAAAATACAACAATAATAACAACTGTGGCATTAATTAGAATACTGAGTTTGGTCCGAAATACTGGTGATCAATTCAGCAAATTCAGAGCCCAGAAAGTGAACCTGCTTTTAAATAGAGAATCAAACAGAAAACAAAGAACACTCAGCAAAACAGTCATTTTAGTTGTTGATAATAATAATAATAAATCACCTACTCATTTGTAAAAGTATTTTGTCTTTCAGATTATTCATTAACCATTGATTAATTTCACTGAAATATATCTGTTTTTTTAAGAGTAATGATGCCTCCCTAATAGGGACCTTTTTATCCTAAGTGTAAAATGGGAAATATTCTTCATATATTATCACCAGGAATTATTCTTGACAGGTATTCAAGTCCCATGCTTATACCAAAATTTTACTTGATTTAGTAACTAGACAAAGAGGGTAGCTTCATTTGTATGAACAGTTTTTTTTTTTTCCAAATATGTATGTACTTGGATGCCCTTAAATTCCCCGAGTAGAAAGAAATGCTTTCCACGGAGCTGCTTATTCGTAGTAACCCACATCACGGCTGACACATGAAAAATGGAGAAATTACTGAAGGTAGTCCAGCCTGAATAAGGACTACCTTATTAGTTCAGGTACCTGCATCTCTCTAATTTTCATATTAATCATGCGTCCATCTTGCTCTGAAATAGGGCCATCATGCTTCATGTCAGAATTTAGCATGTAAGTAAAATTCATAGTGCTTCAAATCTGACTTGAAAATATTTGTGTGGAGAGAACAGAATGATTGGTCATATCATCACTAACAGAGACGACTTCCTAAAATGTTCATTTTCAGGCTTGATCAGGAAAAATGGTGTTAAGACATTTATGAAACCAATGATGGCTACCTAGATCCCTTATCCCACCCAAATCAACAATAACACGGTGCTTGTGTGTAAGAGGAGAGCTGCTGCACAATATAATGTATGAGTTACATATTTCTCATCAATTTTTACAGTTTCCACTGATTAAATATATATTGACTCATAAAATATTACCATCACATCAATTGCCATCAGATATAAGCGTATGTCCTTTAAGTATTAACTAGCATATAAACATGGGAGCCTGGAGGTTTAGAAGCCATAATCTAGTACCCACCATTTCCAAATTACCCTAATGCATTAGTAATCTCATGGAAAGTGTTTCCTCTGAACTAACTAGGCACCAAAAGAAAGGGGTGTGTGGGGGGGGATCTCAAAATAACTAATTTTTTTAGGGAGGCTAAATATTGCTACATATTCATGGTAAATAGATTTATTGATGTAGGGAAATATATAGTGATGGGTTAGCTTTTTCCATACAATTATAAAATGGAAACTGAGATCAGTCCCATAAACTAAGCTCAACAGAACTACCCATTAAAAATTCAAATGAGCAGCTGGAGAGTTGGCTTAGTGATTAAGAGCACTGGCTACTCTTCCATAAGTCCTGAGTTCAATTCCCAGAACGCAGGTGGTGGCTCACAACCATTTGTAACTCCAGTTTCAGGGGATTGATACCCTCCTCTGGTCTCCATGGGTATTAGGCACAAACAAGGTACACAGACATACAATCAGGCAAAACAGCCACACACATAAAAATAACAATAAACCTTTCTTAAAAAAATGAAATTCAAATGAATATAAAGTGCTACTTTAGAGAACGTCCACCATCAATGTGATCATCTATGCAATCAAGCTCCACATTTGCATCACTTTTTTCCCAGGTGCACCTACAATGCTACTAGCTCCCTCCTCTTTTCCACAAAGGATAATCACTAAAATTCTACTTAGTGCTTAGGCACCTCAAGTCACTAAGAGTATCAACTTAGAGCAAAATGTCTGGAGATCTTTAATAACCACCCTCCTCTAGAAATAAAAAAGACACAAGACAACCCGTTCTATGTGTTAACCATCCAATCAGTTTGTGAAGATGCCTCCCATACTATTAGAACCGTCTAGTAACTGATGGGTAATTGTGCTTCTGCTGACTGTAGCAGTGTGCAGCAGACATGAGCTGCAAGAGAAGCCATCCTTCCTTCCTAATGCAGCATGCAGAACTTGCTGCTCCTGCAACGCTTAATGTTCATGGCACAGAGTCATCTTTAATGCAAACACACATTTTCTGCCTTGCCTCTCTGTTTCCCATTATAACACAACACAGAAACAGTGTACATTTCATGCAGTCCCTATGAGGTTTGCATAAGCCATTCCAACTCACACTCAATACTGTATTGCTCTCATTACAGTGGATAAATATTTTAGAGTTTAGGAATTAAATATTTTATTTTTTGGTAGGCTCTCTGCAACTATTGTGAACTTTCTGCAGTTTCTTCACTCACAGGAAATCTTCAGGGTTTCCTTTTGAAAACGCTAGGCTGTTAGCTGTTTCCCCACACAGGAGCAGATCAGAGTTAGCAAATAAGTTCCATAAATCACTTTATACTCGGTGTTAATAAGAATATTATGTTTCTTTATAGGAAGGCGCTTTTCCATAGGCTTGTATCCTTTATTATAATAAAAGTTTACAAACAGAAAAATGAATCACGTAAATGATACATTGTTACATATAAAATTTCTCACTTCGTTTTTATAATACTTAGCATGGGCTTTCTTGGCACGCATCTCTTTACTTGACATAGGTATTTCTCAGGCTAAATTAAGGCAACCAATCCTAAGAGCATGTTTGGAGCTGTTTGGTTGAAATTTTCCACAAAACAAGAAGCAAAGAAGCTGTTTGTACATTTGCCTTAAAAGAAGTAGACTAATTATGTCAACTGATTTATTAATTCATGAAGTTCTTTGTCCAATTATTAAAAGTACAAAAGGGCCAGGGAGCAATTTAAATGTCTAACACACCTCAGAATCTTTCCTTTTTTTTTTTTTAAGTTAATTACAATTCTGAGTAATACTACTCTCGATAGGCCCCTTAGGTTTTGTTCAGATTTAAATAAAATCATAACAATAACATTACCTCATTGGCTAGCTCCAGGAGCACAGGGGCTGCTCCGTTTTTCCCCACGCCGTTCAGGTACCTAGACACACAAAGGCAAGTGGTCATGCAGTGGCAAGGAAGGGCCAGCACAGACTTGTTAGCATCCCCTGGGTATACATGTTTCTCCTGGGCAGACGCCATGCTCACGTCCTGTTAAAGCAGTGAAGGGAAAGACAGCACAATTCCCTCAACCCAACCGACTGATGAAGGTGAGGAGGAGGCAGAACCACACCAATCTCCATGGCTTCTCAAACTTTGAGACGTAAGGGCACAGAGATGACATCTAGACTCCCATCCACAGAACTCTATGCCACACACAGCCATCACATAGGAGCGGGGAGAGCTGACTTTCACAGTTTAAACAAAGCACATGGGCATGTTGGCACCCATGCCACTGAGACCTTACAGCTCTAACAGGCAATAGGAGCTATCATCTTATCTGCCCTAGATTCCTGTAATAATCTCCAGCCTTCGCCACCACACTGTACTTCAACAAGCCAACAAGCACAAAAGCCCAGGTTCTCCCAGACATGGAACACAGGACACTTTGTTTTAACCAGACTTTGATTGTGGCCTTCTCCTCTACCAGCTCTGAACACCCACATTCAATCCCAAAGCCGCACAGTAATCACTTACCATGCACGGTGAGGTTCTTTATAACATGGATTTTTTGGCTGTTGTTCTACTAGTGGTTAGACCTAGCAATTGACACACTAGGCATTGGCTCTACCACGGAGCTCTATCCCTAGCTCTCTTTTTGCTTTCTTGAATTTGAAACATGGTTTTACTGAGTTGGCAGACTGACCTTGAAATCACTATATAGCCCAGACTGGCCTGTGCTCCTCCTGCCTTAGCCTGGGATTGCAGGCCTGAGCCAGTAGGTCTGGCCATAATCCACTTCTGATCCACTCTACTTGGCCAGTCTCATCTCCAGTACTGTCTGCTACGTTTACCCTTTACCTGTGTTAACTCAACACGGCTCCAATACCATAGTCTTCAGTCCACCATCCATGAGTAAGTTAACTCCCCTTCATACGCTAATGGGAAGCCACATGTACGTCTCTCTATCAGAGAACACAGAATAAGGTATTGCCAAGCTACAGAAGTCCACCTATCTATGAGATATGTTCCAACATATTCGGTGAATGCCCGAACTGATAGAAAGCTCTGAACTCTACATATATGATGCTTTCCTATGTATACATATGCTCAACATAAAGGTTAGCTTATGATGAAGAGTAAGAGATTTATAACAGAACAATATTCCATAACAAAATCTATAAATGTGGTTCTGTCTTTCTCTTACTGAACTTTATTCAACTTTCTTGTGATAACTGTGTGAGATAACACAAGGCCTCCATCATAAGAGGAAGTGAGATGACTGATAGGCACTGTAACCCAGCTTTAGGCTACTACTGTTCTGACAATAGGTCAGCAGGAGGATCATGGAGCACATGACTACAGATTACCTGAGCCATGGATAGCAAAACACTGGAAAGAGGGCTAATTGACTTGTCTGTCTCACACTTATCTCCCAGTGTAATGCTAACAGGCTCATAAGAGGACGAGATTTCCTTTAGTTTATTTTATCTACCACAATTCTTGGCTTATAAAGGGTGATTATATAGTATATATTCATACATACTTTTTCTTTACTAATAATCAAATAACTTTTAAATTCACATTAGACAACCTAGTAAAAATCATGTAAGGATATTTTCTCTAAAATGTCTTAGTTGATTGAATAAATTAAAAGTTCTTTGTTGATAGTTTAAAAAAAGGAAGTCAATAAATGGGATCCGCCATGTAACTGCCAGCAGCAAATACCACACTATATAATAACATAAACAAGGCAGAGTCAACACCAATTATAGGGAGAGTGGTGGGATTATTACAACTTCAAAATAATTCAAACCAATCTACTTCCCACATACAGGGGCCCTTCTTAACGATGACTGTATTAGATAGGAAACCAATGAGGAAATAGGGACTTCAGAAGCATGGGTGGGAGAAAATTAAGTGTGGGTTTAAAAATAGGTCCAGAAGTGGGGTGAGGGTGAGGGGAGAGAGGATAAAGACAGCCCCCCACCAAAGACAAATAAAGAACCCAAAACATAGCAACGGTGGTTTAAAGAACAGAGCCCCTGGGAAATAGGTAGGATGAAAAACTTCAGCTTATATTTCCAGTGCCCTGACAAGTCTGCTCAAGAATAAAATAATCAACCTGTGTGTGTGGCCATGTCACACCAAATAAGTGTGAGAAGCACAAACTCTCGAAGAGTTCCAACCCTGGGTTCAGTTTTTAACAGCATACCGTCATCATGGCAGCTTTAGCACTGACCACTTAACATTCATGTATACTTCGAATACTTTGGAGAGCTCTGGCTTAGGCCTTAATCTCAGCTCTGAAGAAGCAACAGGGAAGAAAATATCCCTGTCTCTATCATTACAAAGATATGACAGTCTTCAGACAACAATAGAACAAACAAACAAAAATGGAAGACATAAATATGTAATACATGCTATGGTAACATTTAAAATTAGGTGAGTTGGTCAGGAAGCCCACCTCTAAGGAAGTGGCACTTGAGTCTTGCATAAAGTAAGGAGTAAGCCAAGATTTGTGTTTCGGGGGCAAAGTACTTATACTAGAGAACTGTTGTTTTGAGTCAAAATTGCATGATTTCCTATAAGAGATGCATCTATCACTATATTGATAATACACAATGGAAGCTTCTAACACGTTTAAACAAGCAGGAGTTGGTCAAACAGAACCCCAGTGTAGGAGTCCGCATATATTCAATCAGTGCAAATTCCTGGGAGTACAAAGTGCTGTGAGTACAAAGGCTCCTTGCTAGCTCATGTGAGGAACCCAACCTCAAGGCACTGATGAAATCTACCCAGGCCAGCACAGTGACGCACATCTGAAGCTGCAGTGCTGGAGGGGGGTAGATCACAGTCAGAAGGATTACGACAACCCACACTGGTCAGCCAGTGGAACTGAATCACTCAGCTCCAGATCCCCTCAGAGACGCTATCTCAAATAAGAGAAAAAGAAGTAAATAAATAAATAGGTGAAGAGCTATCTAGAAAAACATGATGTCAACTTCTGGCCTCCACACTCATATACACCCACACTCATACACACATACATGCACACACCCACATGACCATTTACATACATCCCACACAATAAAAAAGACTCTGAGAGAAGACCTATTTTATAATGTCTGAGTAGAAGATCTACGGTCATGACATTATGTCCTTATTTTAAAAATAGAACTGGAGCTGGAGATAGAGCTCGGCAGTAGAGCTCTTCCCCAGCACGCACAAGACCCCAGGCTCAGTCCTCACTCAAAAGACATAAAACCCATAACTCTGCCACTGTTTTCTCTCCTTCTGGAATGTTCTGCTTCCCAACAAACCAGTAAAGGCAACTCTTATTTCGAAACAGGGTCTGTTGACCATTGTTCTGGACACTCCATAGGGATAATAGACAGCTGTGCTGGACTCTGTAAACATCTCTGTTAACACTTCTCTTACTGAAATTCCTATATTTAGGGACACAGCTATCTTCTGTTCCACAGAATAGCTGAAGGCGGGTATTTTCTTTTTCTCATGGGCATGGGCAGCTATCAGCAGGACAGTAATGTGCAATAAATGGTGCTACTGGACATTTCAGCTTTTTCTTGCTATGACAATAAAACCAACCCAAGGAAGGAAAGACATTTTGGCTCACGGCTTGGGACACGGTCTGGTTCTATCACTCAGGTCTGAGATGAGAGCTAAATCATGGCAGAGAGGCACTGTGGGTGAAAGAAGCTACTCACCTCATGTCAGCCAGGAAGCAGACAGACAGGAAGGGGCCAGGGCAAGATGTAGGCTCCAAAGACACCCTCCCAGTAACCTGCTGAATAGTGTGACCTGCACACAAAGCAGCTCTGGTCTCTTCAGTTATTCCTATCCAGAAACGCCCTTGTTTAGTTAAAATAAGAAGTGTGTTTACTCTCTTCTCAGGCATTGTCAATCCAGTCACGTGACTTTCAAGATTAGCATCACAGTGGAATCAATGTTCAGAATCCAGCTTTATCATGCACTGTCAATATCAGGTCTCAACAATTCTTTTCTCCACGTCAACACCTTAGAAAATTCAATTGATCTGATTCTGTATAGCTCCTAAAGCTGTTTCCTGAGCCAGTGTGGTTAGAAGGGATGGGAGATAGGATTGCCAAACTTGCTACTGATAGAAACTTACAGATCTGACCATCGATCAATATTCATTGTCAGCTTGACTGGCTTTGGAATCACCCAGAGTTGAGTGTTTGAGGGTGCTGAAGGTGCTGAGGGTGGGGAACAGAGGAGGGAATAGGAGGGCTAGGGATAAGAGGAGGAAGTCAGCTGAGTATCAGCATTCCCTGTTGTCTATGAGGAGTCTGCCACCATGAACTCTGCCATGCAGAATACACTCACAAACCACAGGTCAGTACAAATCCTTCCTTCCTTAGGTTACACTTGTCAGGATCCTGGACCCAGTGATAAGAAAAGGAACTAGGAGCCCAACCATGTGTGTGCATAAAAGCCTATGTGAACATTTGGAAGAATCAAGATAAATTTCACCAAGGATGTTCCTGTATGGAAATAAACTAGCACAGTGTAAAAGGATAGAGAGCTATTTTCAAATGAACACAGGCTGTCTGTAAATATCCAACTGAAAAGATTTCCCCACCAAGGCAAAAGCCCAGGAACACACTTTCTACTACTATCTTGATCCTATGACGTTTTAAGAGAATCATGGTGCTCTCACAGTAACTTCTGACTTTGAATGCCCAACTGACATAATCTCAATCACAACTAGAATGTGGATCCAGAGGTTCTCATATTGCCAGCAGAAATATAACCAAGATGCTTCTAGACAATAATTTAGCAACATATAATCAATTTCTAAATGTGCACATTGTTTGCACCAGTAATTACACACACAGAGATCAACCAGTGTCTCTGAGTCAAGTATCAAGATGTTTACCACAGCATTGTTTCCAATATCAGGGCACTGGGGACACATTTGGGCCTCAGAAGAATAACCTGGAAATTCAGTCTTTTACATGGTAAAGGAAGGCAACTAATAACAGAAAAGGCTTTTTACAAAATAATATTACATCACATACATTTTTCCACAATAAAATCCAGGACTTATAGTTGCACACATAATATGACCTCATCTATGTAAAAATGGGTTGTCAGAAGGCTGAGATGAAACTTTAACCAGTAGTTATCTCTGAGTGGCACAATTATGGGCAATCATTCATTCCTTTCTATGCCATCACAAATGTGCTTAATTTTCACAGCAGGTGGTATTACTTTTATAAAGGAAAAAAATTAAATAAGTTGTTATTAACATTTTCCCATTGCTTAAATGTGTATAGATAAAACACAAGTTGCCTTTATTCTAAAAAAAACCTAAGAAACAAACAAGAACCTTTTAAAGCCAATTTACCTTGGCAAAACCCAAGATGCTTGACCCGCACATTTTTAACGACAGGCTGGTGAGGTGGGTCTGCCTGAAAGGTGACATATGGCTGGCTCCCTCAGACATACACAGAGGGAACTGCCAGGGGATCGAGACACTAGTGGGAAGCCTTTCCTCTGAGTCTCTATTACAGCCTTAGTTCTGATTTTATTTCAAATGATTTAATGTCTCACCATAACTGAGACTCTAATACTTAAAAATGCAAAGAAACAAATATATTTCTATACCCTCATGACCACCCACTCTAATTACTCACTGTTCATTACTCAGTAACTATACTTAATAATTTTTTTTATTTTTAAAGTAAAACTATCAAGATAATAGAAAAAATAATTCACATATCAGTAATTACTTACACATTTCTTTTTTAGTGCTGGGGACTGAACGAACCTATGCCCTTGCACAAGTTAAGCAAGTGTTACACACCCTACTGCAAAGCAAACTACTGCAAACCAAACCCTCTCTCTCTTTTTTTTTAATTGTGAGACAAGGTCTCACAAAGTTACCAAGGCTGGCTGTGACCCTGAGATCCTCACGCCTTGGCATCCCCAAAGCTGGAATTACAAGATTGTGCCACTAGGCTTGGTGTTTGTGTATATATATATGTATATATGTGTATATATATATATATGTATATATGTGTATATATATATATAGTGAAGGACTTTTTTAAAAGAAAATCCAATTTCAATAGCTTCTCTAACCCTCAATTTATTTTAAATTACATAAACTTTATTATTTAAAAACTTGCAAATAGATAAAAACGTCACACACCCAAATTAGCCAGACCCCAAAGTTTGTACAATTTGATGACCTTCTACCAGATACCATCTCACCCTCACCGAGTCAGAATGGCTTTCATCAACAAATCTGATATCAAATGTTGGAGAAATGTGGAGAGAAAAGAATCCTAACTCAACTGTTGGTGGGGTGCAAATTAATACAGCCATTGTGGAAATCAGTTTGGAGGGTTCTCAAAAATTTTTAAATAGAACTACCATATGCCTCAGCTCTTTCACTCCTGGGCCCAAACCCAGAAACTCCAGACCCTACCATGGAGAGATATTCGAACCCCATGTTTATTGCTGCTTTATTCACTATAGCTAACAAAATGAACCAACCTAGTTGTCCATCAACAGTTGAACGATAAGGAAAATTTGGTTTGTATCATTACCATTTATTGTTATTTATTCAGACATCAAAATGATGGTAACAAATGTCAGAATTAAGAAAATCAGAACCATTTTAAAAGTTCTGTTCATCTCAGAATAATAAATAAAGCTGAAATTTAAATATTCTCTGAACACTATGCTGTTGGTTTAACACTCAAAATTTTCTTAAAAACATAAAGCCCTCATTAAAAGATGATAGTTACATAAAATGACATGTCTCCATAAAGTGCTTATTTGATGAAGGTCTTTCTTAAATACCTAAAACGGCTAACCCAACAGATAGAAGGCAAATTACTACATTGGATTTCAATCACACTTTTTTTTTTTTCAGCTTGCTGATTTGAATAAGAAATAAATGAAAACTGCTTTGAAAACTTGCACATATACATGTGTGGCATATGCATATGTGAATGTATACATGCATAAAAGATGTGGCTTATTTAAAGTTTCAAGTAGCCAAATAAGATTCAGTAATAACTGAATTCACTGCATATAGGACACACATACACACCTAAACTGACAGCATCGTCATATTATTCACACATGCCAAAGAAAGCACTTAAAAACTTATTGCCAAATACACTAACAGTTTTAAATAACAGTCTTAAAACTGTATAGAAAGTCAACTTAATGATCTAATTTATTCATAATAATTATCACAATTAATAGGTACTGTGATACCCTCTAGTGGGGCAGGCAGGTCATACCTCTGGTAATAATTTTCAATCGCTTCTGGAGTGTGATGTTTGGCGTGTGTTCTTTTAATATGTTTCTGAAACAAAACGCAAGGAAAAAAAATCTTAATATTGTGTCACACATCAGGTTCAAGAACAGCAAAGACATATTTCTTCATCCCACTGGCAAGCATACGGGGCAAACGGGTAATGGCTTGGGGACTGGGGTGGTAGCAGGATTTCCTTTCCTGCTACCACTTCTATGCATTTTAATCTCCTGCTTGACTGGGATGTCTTCAGACTGTACCACAAGTACAGTATATATGTAAAAGCCACCAGGGTCATAGTAATTGAATCTAAATAAGTTTGCTTAGGGCTGCAGAGGGCAAAGGAAAACTTGTTCCCTCTTTCAACCTTTGTATTAATTTTCCCTCAATTCAATTCCATCTAAGTCCTCTGCACTCGGGTTTTACAATCCAATTGCCATATTTAACCGGGAAGAACATTGCTTAAAAACAACTTATTTGAAAACTACAAAAAGTAATTCCATAGAGACTTGCCACTTGACTGACACCTGTCATCTCATGATAAATGACTCCATTTTCTGCCTCTCTTGCCTTCTGCCACTCCAGCAGTGGTCATTTATCATCATCTCTGTCAGCAATGGGAAGCGGCACCGACAGTGCAAGTCAGCAAACATTTAGCACATGGAGCCACGCAACACAGGGAAATTATTATTGTCAGAATAATAATGGTTTAGCATAATTTATTACAGGTCCACCAAATAAGCAAAGGCTAGATGTTATTAGACAGATGGATGGGTAGGCTTGGCAGGCCTCCACTGAGACGCAGGCGGTGCTTGATGTGGAAAGGAGAACATCCTCCAACCCAATCAGAGAGCTGGCAGTTCAATTACAAAGAAATAAAGGGACATTCATCATTCAATTAGGCACCTGTCAACCCTCACAAAGAAGAAAACTTCTAACCTGGTACTCCTGGGAGAAGATGCTCAGCAGAGTGGCCTGCGATTGACTGGAACAAATAAAAGAAGGACAAAGTTAATTACTGGAGTGCACAGCAAAGAAATAAAAGAGAAAGGACCTTCAAAGGTAGGCCCGCTGCCCTGTAATCCAACAGAACACGAAAACAAGTGTGGAGAAGTTGTTCCAGATGAGAACCTCACACAAAGGCTTCCTGCTGCGAGGTCAAGGACAGAGGAAGAGCGGATGGGGAAAAGAACCGGTCCTGATGCAGGAAGCATAGCGTTTGGATTCTATGCAACCTCGAGATGACTGCATCATATCTGTAGTATAAAATGTGGCTTTATACCACGGAGGACCACAAGAAAAAGATTTCTTGCCACACACAAATGACCTACTCTTGGGAACAGTAGGGAGCACCTACTTTACACTGCCTGACAGCATTCCCAGGTTTATCTTGTTGGCTGTCCCAGTTTCATGGGGGAAACACTGATCTTTACTAGAGGTAACCCAGAAGCCAATGGAACATTCTCACTTACTGGCAAGCTCTGAAAACAGAAGCAAGGGCAGCAGGAAGTAGTGGTCTGCAGAAGGCCTCACTCCCAAAGACTACAGTTAACCAGGATGTCACAGCACCAAACACTGGGCAGTGAGGCAACCTGGGAAAATCTTCTTCTGAAATAGGGCGTTTGCTTCTGCAACTGTCCCCTTTAGAGATAGAACAGAATGTTTCTTTCTCTAAATGTCAACAGCATCCACTGCTGCCTTCTGACTGCCCTTGGTGGATATATCCACTGTTGATAGTGACAATTTCTGATATAGTCTTCTAGTAAATGCAAACTGAAGACACTGCACTTTAAATAATTTGACTTTCACAGTATGCCAACACTCTGTGAATATTAATTTTTTTTTATTTATGAATGAAACCTCCCAAGTGGATCAGCAGTTCAGAGAGTTTGAAATAAAAATACCTCCACATTTGCCCGCTCACTGCCAGTGCCTGCAGCTTCTGGAAACCATCATGGGTTTGGCTTCTGACCCTCTCCTCCAGGACCAAATTATATGAGAAGGTTTAAAACAAACAAACAAACAAACAAATCACAGCGGCAGCAAGAGGGCTTGGTGACTGAAGGTACTAACAGCCTGAGTTCAATCCCTAGGACTCACATGGGAAAGAGAGTCCTGCAAGTTGTCCTCTGGTCTCCACTGTGCCATGGCATGCATGCACCTATACATGTATGCATACACACATATTCAACACAAATGCATATAAAAATAATTTTAGAGCCGGGCGGTGGTGGCGCACGCCTTTAATCCCAGCACTCGGGAGGCAGAGCCAGGTGGATCTCTGTGAGTTCGAGGCCAGCCTGGTCTCCAGAGCGAGATTCAGGACAGGCACCAAAACTACACAGAGAAACCCTGTCTTGAAACACCAAACAATAATAATAATAATAATAATAATAATAATAATAATAATAATTTTAATAACAATCTCAGCACTCTGGAAACTGAGGCAGGAGGACTGCTTCAAGTTTGAGGTCTACATAGCAAGTACCAGACCAGCCTGGGCTACAGAGTGAAATTCTATCTTGGGGGAGGGAGGGGGGCCAGGAAGAGAAAGAAAGTCAGAAAGAGAGAGACAGAGACAGATTGGGAACATCTCGGGAGTTGGGGGGGGGGGATCTATAGATGTTCACCAAAGAAAGTGGACTCTTAATTAAAGAACTGCTTCAATATGTCAGCGTACTAAGAAATAACCGAGGACAATTATAAATTCATTAGTCATTTTTTTTCAATTTCCTTTTGAAGTTGGAAACCATCTTTTAAAAACCCAATTATATGTATGTATGTATGTATGTACGTATGTATGTTTGGCTTGCCTGAACTTAACATGCAAATCACATATTTTGGTAGGGTTATTGATAAAAGCCTCTGAAAAAGATGCCAAAATGAAGGTCCAATTTGTATAAACTACTTTAAAAAGTTAAGTGCTTCATATCTATGCACGATTAAGAGACCTCTCCTCATAGTACAAAATAGATTGACATTATTAAGCATTTCGCAGTACACAGAAGGTACACGTCTAGGTTTCAAAAAGTATGACAGAAGCATTTGGTTGGAAAGAAAAAAGATGCCAGACGTGGTGGTGCACACGTAAAATCGCAGCACTTGGGAGGCAGAGGCAGGGGGATCTCTGAGTTTGAGGCCAGCCTGGGCTACAGAGTGAATTCCAGGACAGCCAGGACTACATCAAGAAACCCTGTCTGGGGGCTGGGGGTGGGGGACAGCAGAAATAAACAGTTCCACGTGAGTCTGGTCAGGACTTGGGAGTACTGTAGGATGAGATCATGTATTTAGCTAGAGGAGGTCTTTAAATTGTTCAGTTCAGTTCAGCTAAAATCATGGACAGAGACTAACGGAACAGGCAAGTTTCTCTGTGAAAAGGAAGCTAGAAGAGTCCCATCCACAAACACTGTTGAAAGAAAAAAACTGATTAAAACCAAAACCAGAACACAACTCATGTTATATCAATAAGGAAGACTGGCTCCCAGAATGCTTTGGTTTTGTTCAACAAAGCAAAGCTGCAGAAAAATAAGTGACCTCTGCTGAATAACTTGCTGGCCAACCTTCTGCTCTAGTATGTGTCGATCAAGGCAAGGACCTGAAAAAGTGTCATGTGATAAAATCCAGAAAAGGAGCCTTGGTGCAACCAAAGCGCCGACCCCAGTGTCTTCTTCCGCACGCTCCTCAGGGTGCTGATGCTGAGAAGGCTGCTAGAGAGAAAGTACCCCCGAGACAGGTGGGAAGGCCACAGAGTCACAGAACTGCAACGCGACAGCACCAAAGAGTGTAGCGGACTATCGGCCAGTCTTTATGATAGCAGAAGGGGACGGGCGGGCACTGAGGAATTCCCTCTGTAGGCCAGAATGAGAGGATAGTCTGTGGAGCACACTGCAAGAGGGCAGAGTGTGGGGCAGGGACTCGAACACCTCCTGCAGCCAAAGGCGATGGGCTGTGGAGACTCCATCTGCAAGTATTTTCACAGTTGGAATGAGTTTCGCCACGTGCAGTTTCCGGCATGTAATTCACACCATGGGAAGAGGAAAGTCCAGGCTGTCTCGTGTCCAGTTCTGGTAGGTTAACTCACTACACTCCAACCTCACCTACCATACTAATATCCTTATTGCAAGGATGAAGAAATGCAGGAAGAAACATTAATTTAGAACACACAATTAAGCATCTAGATAAAATGCTGAATAGAAATCCACATCCAATTCTAGAACCTAAATTCTTAATTCCCGTGATACTTGTGCCTTCCTAACAGTTCCTAGAAAATAGTTCTGCCAGCCATGTAGGCTAACACTTCTGCCCAAGCATTTATGAGGTTGTATTATACCACAGACCACCTTGAAAGGTGGAACGTGTTGCTTTTTAAGATAGAAAATTGAAGCCACAGAGGTCAAATGTTTTGACCAAATTAAATGGCTTTAGATAATATTCCCATCTTTAAAAATCAAATTGCAGTTTTCCTTTAATCAGCTGCATCAAATACAATTTCCCTTTTGTGTTGGGAGATAAAGGAACTATTGATGGCAGGAAACAGTCCGAGTAAGAGGACTGTTAGGTACTGTCCGTTACCCTCTCCACAGCTAAGGTGCACTTAAACTACCACTACTGGCTCGGGCGTTTCTATCAGACTTCAGGTGTGCTTTACTCAAATGTTATTTCCATCTCATACCTTAACATCTTAAGTATAAATGGTGAAAACACTTTCTAAGGTGTTAATCTTATGAAACAAAATTTAATGAAGAGTTTCCCACTTACAAAGAGCATATTCTGTAGAATCCAGTTTCCATTGCCAACATCCATCTATCTACCTGCCTATGTTTTCATTCTGCATCCAAAGAATATGGATATACACAAATAGAATGTCTAAAATCTTGAGTGGGACACAGGTTTTTGTAATATTCTTTCATCATAAAAGAAACACATTCATCCATTCCACTAGAATTCTTTTTAAATTATTGTGAATAGAGCAAAAAATACCACATGGAATAAATATGCAGCATAAGAAATTAACATTCTTTTAAAGATGGAAGAAAACCATTTAGGTCAATATCTTCAGCATCCTGAGGGACACCTAGGCAATCATCATCCTTCCCAGTTAAGGAATAATTCTTCTGATCTTTCTTTGATTTCCTTTAGTTCTTCCATGACAAGTATGTATTCTAGAAGTCAGTGTTGCCTATTGGTAGACATTTAAAGAAATGTCCTATGCAATACACATTTTTTTTTTGGTACCTGGCTCCTCATCTACCATGTCTATGAGATCTAATGTCTATGACATCAGACAGAGGTGCAGTTCATTACTTACAGTTCACATTTACTTTTGGGGTGATGCATGTTTATAGTCCCATCTCAAAGCTTGAGATGTTCAGAAGTGCTCCCTGCATCTTTCCTAGACCTGCTCTCTAAACCCTCTCCTATAATCCTGTCAAAAGTACTGCTTGGGACATAACTAGACTACATCTCACCAAAGTGTAATTAAACTAGATTTAAGGATTTCAAGGGTAGCCCCCCCCAAAAAAAAAATGTTATCTTCAAAAATTAAAAATCTTACCTAAGTTACCTCTAGAAAATATGGAATAATGATGGAATGCACAAAACTGAGGGTAATAATGGCAAAATGAACACTCAGGAAAAACCCAAACCGTTTGCTAGATATTAGAATTGAGCTAATATCCAGAGCCCTAACAAACTATATAACGCAGGACATTTGTGCCAGTCTTAAGGCAGTACATGGTACATTTATTTTCAAATAAGATAGAACATACTCCCAAGGACACTTAATACATTCGTAAGAGTGGGAAGTGGGGAACTCACACAAGCAGATTATCAATATGAACAAATACTAAAAACAAACAAACAAAACAGTATTTACCAAGAAAAGCATGTTATAGAATTACATCTACATTTTATATAAGTTATCCAAAGTATAAAATCACAATAGAACCATTCATTTTTCATGGGCATCTCTGGATGTAGTATAAG